TTGCAGTCTACTAGTTAGTATTTCAAATTATTTTCTACAGTAATTCTCAAATAAGAATGGAAAGAACAAATATCACACAATCATTTCATAATACTGCTGATCAGACGATAAAGAAATACTGTAAAATGAATTTGTGTGTAGAAATCGTGCAAAGTAAAGAAGTAAAAATTGTAACAAGAACATTGAAGGCACATAGTGAACTATGCAAGTAAAATTAGTCTTATTTTGTACAAAGAAATAGATTTTTTAAAACTTTTTAATATCTACTTCTTGTCTGATGTATAAGAAATCGAACACAACATACATACTGTTATAGAATAACAGTACCAAATTACTATATTACCCATCTATGAATTAGAAGCATTAAATGCAATACATTCATCGAGGCAAGGAAATTTACCCATGACTATTATGCAATTTCACTCTGTACATTTCGTTTCCGTATTATCAAATATCGATCAATATTTTCACTTACATATTACGATTAATTCATATCACAATATCAAGGCGCTTACAAGATTCATATGTTCCTTAAGCACCTTTACTTCGCCAGTTTCCCTCGTTTAGTCCAAAATATAACACAGAATATTTAAAAATTTGTAGTGCTATTACTTCGATTGACCTTTTTACCCAAAACCCGATTCGAAGTCCTTGTTGGTGTTGGTCTCAACTTGTAGCCTCCACCAGCGTTCAGTGTATTATTTATGGCTGCCACATTTGGAGCTATGGTTTTTAAGCATTTCGCAGCTTCGTCGAGCTGTTTCGATAAAATTTCATTTTTAAGTTTCTCCGCGTTCAACTCTCGTCTAAGTTGAGCTTTTGTTTTATTTCCGAATGGACACAATACTCTGTGTTGAATAAGGCACACCGCTGAAGGCCTCATTTCAGGATTGGGATGGATCATTGACTAAAATTGAAGAATAAATGTTAATAAATCTTTTGGTAATTTTTCCTACACATGTTAGCGCCGCTCACTTCTAGTTTCCGAGATATTCGCGAAAAACTGTTTCTACTGCTCCATTGAATTCTGCTTATGCATGCATGTCATGTCAACTTGTATGCGTGAGGCAGCGATCGCCGTTCATCTAATGTTCCAGTATATCAATTGGGCGTTATTTAGATAACATATAATTTATTTAAGTAACAATTCAAATAAAAGATACCTTATCTTTATTCGTTATTTGAACATACGAATAAAAAAGGAATTTTTGTTCGAAGAGTATCGAATAAATAAATTCATTCGACGAAATTTATCCAATGAATAAAGATACTTTTTTTATTCGAAGCGTCGAATAAAGTTTCCGTCTTTCAACCGTATCTTTATTCGAAGGCTTCGAATAACTTTTGCCAGCACCTATAAACGCGATGCCGAGCGTCGTACCCCGAACATCAAAGATCCAGCAACTCGCCAAAGGCATACACTGTAAGCAGACGGGGAACCACGCACAAATAAAAATTTTAACTTTTACATTTTTTAATGTACGAACAATGTATAAAAAATATAAAAATTAAAATTGTTAATAATGCTTGATTCTTCATCTGCTTACATTGTGTCTTTGGCGAGTCGCCGAGTCTTTGACGTTCGGGACATGACGCTCGGCATCGGATTTATTGGAACTGACAAAAGTCATTCGAAAATTTCGAATAAAGATACAGATAAAAGATGAAAATTTTATTATAAAAAAAATATATTATAAGAAAAATATGTATTCAAGATTTCAAAAAAAAGGTATAGTTGAGATTGGTTGTGGTTACAGCCGTGAGGGGGCGGAGAATTTATGCTTGCAATATTCTGAACCTCGCACAGAATTTTGTACGTATGGTCGGGCCACCCTCTCCACCCCTACGAGGAGGACCTAACCACAAATCAACTTTACATATAAACAGTGCTAAAAATGTTATTGTAAAAGTGATATATTGTGTACGAAAGATATTTTTATGAATACCTCAGAGACTAAAAGCGAGCGGTGGTAACATATACAAGAAAAAATGACCTTGTGACAGAATGATGACCTTGACAACATATCTCAATGACATTGAAATCGGTGAGGATCATCTTGTTGCATGCAATTACTAATTTTTTTTTGTTTATAGATTTTGATAAAATGTATGAATATTGAACAAAAAATATTGAATACTTTAGTACAGGTTTGGGGAAGTCATTTCGACCGCGAGCCACAAGCTCCATTACTACTACTATATGCACGTTGTTACGGCAGCCCCGCGTGGAGCACAAAAGAAGCAATGTCATATCGTTTTTCGTGTCATGCGAGTGTGTGAAGAATATTTGAAGAGCCACATTTGTGCAGGCCTGTTTTAGTATATTTACTTACTTTAAGCAATTCGTTAAGATCACGACTATAATGTGGTAATTCTTTTAAATTTCCACTTCTAATATTATGCCAATCCGGTCCATTTTTAGGCAATGGACCACCACCACCTGCTTCATAAACAGTTAGTCCCAGGGCAAAAGTATCAGCTTTTGATAAATGGCTAAAGTCTTCTCGTAAAATTTCGGTTGGCAAATATCTACAATCTCCTTCTTCGACTTGGGGGTTATTAACAGATGTAACGTGACCTAAATCACCTATCTTATACGTAATTTCTTCTTCGACGGTTTCTTCCTCGTCAAATCCATCGTCCGCAGAGTCATAATTAACCGCCAGTAACCTTTTCTCTTTCGATATGAATATGTTTCCAGGTTTAATGTCCATGTGTACTAACTGCATACTATGAATGTATCTTAAACCTTCGGCAACATGTAATAAAAGTTGTCGCATTTCTGCTTCTGTGAAATGCTTATTTTCTTTTTGTAAATTGGCAATGGCGTCCGCTAGACTACCACCATTACAATACTCGTTTTGGATTATCATATGATTATCTTCCGCCCATGCCGAATAATACCGTACAACATGTTGATGTTTACCGAGCACAGCATGCGCGTAAACTTCGTTTAAAGCATTTTTCTCGTTAATACTTCCAGCAACAGGCTTAATACTTTTTTTAATGGCGTATGTGCACCCATCTAGTCGGTTGATGCATTTATAAACCGATCCGAATTCCCCAATACCAATTAAACCAAGTTCGTGGAATTCCTGATGGTATCTAGGAATATTAGAATCTTGTAATGCTACCCGTTTCGTTGCTTGCTCTATCTCGTTATCCGAGTCGTCAGAATCGACGAAATCAAACTTGGTAACTTGAATATCAGGAGAGCTATAATAAAAATTAACAAAACCGAAGAAAATTATAAATTCTTTGCATAAGTAAAATGTAACTAAAGCCTACCCTAACAGGACTAAATTACTAATTATTTATATTTATTTATTTAATACTAACCCATTGAGACTACGTTTGGATCTAGTACGCTTCCTTGCAGTTAACAGCATTCCGTTTGGTGTAAAAGGATTTACATTAGCTGCTGGTTTGTCAGTTTTGGTTTGGTAGCTACATGGTCTTGGTTTATCTAAAGAAAATAATCTGGTACACTTGGAAGGAAATGGAGTATGCATTGCACTCTTTTCCATTAAGGTTTTAGGAGTAGCAGGAGAATCAAACAGCCGTAAGGCTCTAACACGTTTATAAGGTGGACTGCATGCCAATGACACTTTTTGTGAATTTGCATTCTCACGAGGAGGAATCCTAATTCTTGATGTACCTACAATAAAAAGTGTTTAAATTATATAACATGTTGGAAATTACTGCATTAAATAGGTGTGAAATTTGATAGTAACTAAATCATGCTTTCTTTAGAAATATATAACTATCAATAATAAAAAAAATATATTTTAGCATTATTTACATTACAAATTTATCTATATTCAACGAAATTTTCCTAATTCAGGAAAATTTAAGTTTGACATCTCCAAAAATCAATAAAATAAACATCAAGTATACAAAAATTTAGTCTAGTTTGAATAATAGCTTTTTTTTAGGAACGTGATGCCTTGATGTGATGTATGGTGGCATTTGACCGCAAAGGATTAATAAGATCAGACAAAATGGTATGTAAATATAATGTAAGTATAAATCTTATTAATCTCTTACCTTAAAATTTGTTTGCAAGGAAATTTGTGCTTGCAGACAGTTATTATAAAATAAAACCAAAATATTTCTGTTTATATATATTATGTTTTATTTAATTTCTATTTTATTTTTTTAATATAGTTTATAATATATAAACCAT